ACCCGCTTTGGCAGGGGGTTGGAGGAGATGATCTCCAGAGGTCCTTTCCAACCCCACAGCATTCTGTGATTCTGTTAATTCATGCTCCTAAATGCCTCTGATACTTCTAATCAATATTCTCTCTGCCAAGCTCTAAGGAAACTACGGGTGTTGAGGGGTAAGAGGCCCAACCATATCTAGGTTCAAAACTGCCCAGCTCTGATGCTCTAAGTTCACGCCTGCTGCTGGTTGTCTTCAGAGCTTTTTTTCGATGGGACCTGCAGAAGTGATAAAATAGCTTCTCACCTTGATATCAGAACTGCTCCAGCTTTCACAGAGGTATTTGCCCCACAAGTCAGACACCAAAGAGAAATGGTATTTGCTGTATTGCCTGGGTGAAGAAGATGGAGGGCAGCAGGAAGGGGAAGAGAGAACAGCCCGATTCTCCTTTAGCCAAGTTTTCACACCCTGCTCGTGCCTTTTTGTTTTAACTCATGACCTACAAGAATATTTTGCTTATATGGTAACTACTTTTGATCCTAAAACTCACTCTGACGTCGATTGTAATGATGAGACTAACAAAGCCCTTTTTTTTAAGGGCCAAGATGGATTCATGGAATTTAACTCTAGGAACACCCACTGTTGTTTTGAAGTTTGGGAACAGACTGGAGCCTCTGGGGAATGTGATTCACTTCTTTCTAAATCCTGTCCTTTTGAAAGAAGCTGTAACGATGGGACAGGAGACCAAAAAAACCCCACCCTTTTTTTCTATTCAGAGTTTGTGTGAGAGAGATGTGTTTGTGGGGTGGGACTCTGGTCACTGGAGGTCTCATTAAGCTAATGGTGGAATTTGGGCAGGGGAGAGGGATGGGGGGACTGTGCAATAGGGTGTTTTCTCCTGGTCAAAACGTCTAATGTGACCAAACGTGGTTCTCCTGGGACACCCTGCATGGTTGTCACCAAACCTCTGCAAGTCCCATAAGCCTTCCGTATGGTTTTTAGCAGAGTGAGTGAGTTTGTTTGAGAAACCCTGCTGGCTTTGCATGGTGCATAGTCTGCAACAGCATCACCAGTACCTACCAGTCTTCTGAACTTTAAGGCATATGTACTTTGACTTACATAGATTCTGCTCAGAAATCTTCTCACCTGGTCCTAGTGGTGTTGGTCATTTACTCTGGCTGGGCAGCCTGGTGCAGAGAAGGGTTCACGATTCCAGCCATCACTTTTCTTGTAGGTCTTTTCTAAATTCCAAAGCTCTCGTGCCCTGAGACCTGCTACAATTCCTACCCTTTTTTGGCAATTTTTATTTTTTTTTTTCTGGGGACAACTCCCCCTAAGCAATATTTTAATTGAAATACGACCTATTCCCCACAGAGCCCTGGGTGACTGAGAGGTGGCTGGGATATTTCAGCAGCTTTTGGCTCTCTCTCTCCTCCTCCTGCACCAAACCAGCAACGGGTTTGCCTTCCTGCAAAGTGTAAATACCCAACTCATCTGCTGTGCCTCACTTCAGCTTTTTGCCTTTTTTGTTTTTTTTTTTTTTTTTTTTCTGGCTGGAGTGTGCTTTGCTACATCTTAAGGAAGGAGGAAATGGAGAATCTAATCATGCTCCAGCTGTGCTTTCCTGGCTGTTCGTAACCATTAAGAATCTTCCAAGCGTCTCGGTTTCCATTCTGCGCCGCTCGGGGCTTTCGCGTTCTCCCCGGAAACTTCATAAAAAGCCAGAAAGGAATCCATTTAAGGGGGGGGATTCACGTTGAAACGCATGGCCCTGTCATCCCAACAAAGCAATCAGCTGTTCCGGAGAGAAGTGATGTCCTTGAAGCCATCTGGCACTCAGAGCAGTTTGCGGGGAGATTTCATAGGAAGGGAGAGATGCTGAGCGAAAAAAAAATAATATAAATCTCCCTGGGCTTCCGCTGCAGTCAACGGGGAGAGAAAATCAGGTTTCTCCCAAGGATAACTGAGCTGGCCTTTGGGACAGGGTGTCCCAGAGGCAACTGAGGAGGACTAGAGGACAGAGAGAGGCGTTTTGAAGTGTCAAAAGTAAAGGGTGTGAATGTCCTCCTCCCGTGGCCCGTGCTGGGGAATAGCTGCAGAGATGGAGGTTGGAGCCCCCGTTCCTTTGCTGAGCTGCAGAGCATCGCTCCTCTCCCCCCAGGCAGCTCCCCCACGGGGTCAAAGCTGTACCTGGGCAGAGGCTTTCACATCAATAGAATGTAAAACTTTAAATAAAACTAGTATGAGGAGCGAGTGAATTGTTTATCACCTCTCTCAAGTGTCCTCCTTTTTTATTATTTTTTTTTTTTTATTCCTCTTCCCCTTCTTTTTATTAAGAGAGCCACTCTCTCCAAGTGGAGCGCCGCGTCTCCGGCCAGATAGTGGGGCATTGGGAACAGGTTCTGCGCACCAGCAAGAAAAGGAAAATGGATTTAAAGCAGTGGATGTTTGGATAAGACTAATTAATAAATCCCAGAAGGGCAAGAACTCACTTGGAGTGAGGTGTATCTACAGCTGGCACCTTGACTGTACGGGGAAAAGGGACCTATAAAAACCTCAATGTCATCCCAGCAGCAGGAGGGGAGACGGACAGCCCTGCGGGGTGCTGGCTGGGGGTTCAACACCCTTTTGTCATTTTCTTTTGGCTGAAGCAGGATCCCTTTAAGACCAATACCTGCTGCCTTTCAGCTGCTGGGGGGACACGGGGTGTGGGCAGGAGCCCAGCCAAAGGGCTGTGAGGTGGTTCCCTTGGTGGCCCGATGCCAGGGGTTAGGAGAAGCCTCAGGGTAAGGCATCAAAATAACACCAAGACCTTTTTCTTCTTCCCTCCAGGCTCTTCACATTGCCCAGCCTCCCCAGATGGCAGGGCTGGGAACGGGCTTCGTTTCATCACTGTTTTCACTTTCGGTCCGTTTGCCAAGTTTTCTCCTAATTGCTTCCTTGCAGAAGGCCTGCAGCAAAAAAAAAAATCCAGCCGTGCTTTCTCCACGTCCCCGGGCTGGGAGCTGGTGCTTTCATGCCACTGTCTCTTGGTCCTGCATGGCAGCCAGGTGGGAACTGCTGCTCTGAAGGAGTTCCCTCTTCAAACAGGAGCCTCTTTTGACTTGACAAGTCCCCAATATTGCTTCAGCAGACCAGCGGGGATGTAGAAGATAGCAACTATTTTGGCTTTGGACTTACCTCCCCACAATTCCCCGCCAGCTGAACTGGTGGCACAGTTGATGGGGAAGCTGCTGAAATGCTGGAATCCATCAGAGCTTGCAACGTTCTCCTGGGGAAGTGCTTCTCCACGGCCTGCTCTCTCACCCAGCATGCAGGAGAGTGTTTCATGGGGGGGATTCGGTGGGAGGGATGAATATATACGAGGTGGTAGCTCACGTCATAAAACTGGTTCAGAAATTCAGCCCATGCTTTTGAGCAGGGGGAGCTGCCCAGTGGCACCGTGGGCTGGGTGACATGGTTCGCTCACGTGGCTTGGTCATGCCAGGGTGGAAGAGGGTATGGCAGCCAGGAACGCGGTGCCCTGGACAACAGCTTTCTCCAAACTCCTTTCGCCGTGACACGTGGCATCATGCACCAGAAGAACATCACCAAGGATCATCACTTCTCCCCGCAGCCACCGCCCAGACCTGCGCCCCTTGGGACCTTAATTCTTCATCTGAAGAGTCAAGATTGAAAAGTGCAGGAAACCAGGGTGGGCTTTATTTTTGGGACCTGCCAACTGGCCCGTGACTTAGTGGCCGGGGGTGCTGTGGCCAGCAGGAGAGTCCCAGCCAGGCTGTGCCCTGTGGTTGCTGCATGTGGGAGTTGAGGTCATGGACAGCTTTCCTCATGGGGGTACGGAGGAGACTGCTTTGCTTTGAATATAGATTTGTGACCTGAACCTAGGGTGTAGAAAACCAGTTGGCTTTGTTTGTAGCCAGTTGCAGAACGTGCTCTCTCCATGTGTTTTACAGAGTCAGAAAAAACTACATACTGACAGGGTCTTCCTCAGACATCAGTCCTTGAAGAAGCAACCATTGAGAAGAGCCAACCCAAGCCCTTTGATCCCTCAGCTTTTCTAAGGAGCTTGGCAGATGGGCTGGAACGCCTTATTGGTCAGTTTGGGTCACTTGACCTTTTCACCCCACCCCACAGGTGCAATCACTCCACGGGATAAAGCACCAATTCAGCTGACCCTGGTCACCACACCAATGAGTGTAAGCAAGAGCCTCTCTCACTGAACAGAAAGTTGGCTTTGCTCCACCCCAAACCAGGACACAGGAGAAGGGAGAAACCATGTCCTGAGATCTGAAACTCTTACCCCCTCTAACTGTGGTGAAGTTCAGGGAAGTTAGATACAGAGGTCCTTAGTTTATGGTAGATGTCCTTCAGGAGGCATAACTCAAGGCTGGTAGGGACAACACTTTGAAGGGAATATGGTGGGAACCAGGTGACCTCACTCTAGCTTATCAAACCCAAGCAAGGAGGTAGAGTGGAGCAGCTCTTTCTCCTTCCCTTTCATTTATTTCTGGCTGTAAAACTTCCCCTGCCACCCGTCCTGGATGCCAAGCAAAGGGGAGAAAACTTCTTCATAATTTAGTGATGGTTTTGATCAGAGTGAGGTTGATGGTTGGACTCGATGATCTGAAAGGGCCCTTCCAACCTGGACAATTCTATGATTCTATGTACTTGCAGAGCACCAAGCAATTTAAATGTATACGGCTTCAAAAAGAAAGCTTTGCTCCAGGCTGCGACAGGGAAACCCATGGCTTCAGAGGCTGCAGGGCAGGGGCAGGGCTGGGTTGGATGAGAGAAAGAAGACTTTGAAGGAATTAGAACAGAGTGCAGTTGGCTGAAAGGAGGACTTCTCCACTGGGGCTAAAGCTGTCACCTCTTTTAAAAGAGAAATCTCCCACACAGAATCACAGAATGGTTAGAGTTGGAAGGGACCTTCAAGATCATCCAGTTCCCACCCCCTGCCCTGGGCAGGGACACCTCCCACCAGACCAGGTTGCTCCAAGCCCCATCCAGCCTGGCCTTGAACCCCTCCAGGGATGGGGCATCCACAGCTTCTCTGGGCAACCTGGGCCAGGCTCTCACCACCCTCACAGCAAAGAATTTCTTTCTGGTATCTCATCTAAATCTCCCCTCTTCCAATTCAAAACCATCACCCCTCGTCCTATGGCTCCACTCCCTGATCAAGAGTCCCTCCCCATCTCTCCTGTAGCCCCTTCAGGTACTGAAAGGCCGCTATAAGGTCTCCCCAGAGCCTTCTCTTCTCCAGGCTGAACAACCCCAGCTCTCTCAGCCTGTCCTCACAGCAGAGGTGCTCCAGCCTTCTGAGCATCTTTGTTGCCCTCCGTTGGACCATCCCTGTGGTGGTCCAACCAGGTGCATCCCACCCATCTCCCGGGGCTGGGTTATTACCTGGCTGGGGTGGAAGCCATCGACCGGTTCGATCAGCTGCCAGGGCTCACCTCCCATCTTGTGCCACTCCTCGGCCGCTGCCAAGAACAACACAAACAGGGGGGGGGTTATCACAGGAGACCACGTAGGCACCCACCCAGACATGTCCCCCCCCTTCCTCACAGCGCCGATGGTATTTTTAAGCACGCAGCGGCTCCGCATGAAGATTATGATAATTCATATAAAGTTGTCAGAGCCAATACCGTGTACAATCCCCTCTCCTCGGGGCAGTATTTAAGCTTTTATTCTTAATTTTTTTTTTCTTTTTTCTCTGCGATGTTTATGCAAGGAAGTGCTTTGAACAGAAACGATCGTCAAACAATCCACTTTCCCTCCCAACTACGATGGATGCTGTAGCAAGTAAGGCTGTAAATTATTTAATACCGAGCTAATACTTTTGCATTTCCCATTTCAGTTGCATCTTCAGCAGTCCAAAAAGATAGAAAGAACAAAAAAAGAGATAAAGAAAACAGTACTTTCTAGAGAAAGAGATGGTAAAACAATATTCGCATGGGCTAATGTCTGCAGGACTCGACTGTCATTTTCAGTTACTTCTCTTCTGAGTGGTGTTTTTCAACCCCAACACAATAACCTTTTGAATTACATAAGCATGACATTCAGCGCAAACGATGCTGTGCCGCAAGCCCCAGAGCCATTAGAGAAGCAAAAAGCTTTCTCTCTTCAAAAGGGCTGTGGAGTGATCAAACACGGGGCCAGCGGATACGGCATTAACAGACTGTAAATTCAATAATTTCTTTTATAATGACAGATTACGAATTCTTAATAGCCTTATGCAAGCAGCCTAGCAGGAGGAAAATATCCATTCAGGCACCACGGTTTCGATCTGGACTCACTGCTCTTTGTTGGACCCTGGCTATTGTGTCAAAAAAAACGATGTCTGGGTCCCCAAACTAGCTCTGAATTGTGATATTCCACTGGAGAAACCTACTTGAGGTGCTTCAGTCACCACCCGAAGGAACCTTTTTCAAGATGCTGGAGCTTTGTTTCAAATTTGTATGTTGGGCTCAACATACATTCCCCTTAGATTACACCACAGGGTGCACCTATAGATGCACAGAGTGGCCTTGCCTGTGTCCTTATATACGATGTTATATGTTGACTGTGTGTGTTGTGTTTCACTTTGTAGAGGGACTACTCTTCCACCGTCAGAAACAGCAGAGGAGTAAGTAAAATAAGTGAGGTTTGTGTGTAACTATGGTTTGTATGTATAAGGTTTGCATAACATAGGTGAATTTAGACCATTATGCTTGACCTCCAAAAATCCTCAAGCAGTTGAACAAATATCCACCAAATGACTACGTCCAGAATTTGTCTTAAAAGTGCCTACTGCCCTGGCTAGACTGGACTCCTCTCCAACACCAAGGAAAAGCCAAACCAACCAATCCCTACCCCCCTATTGCAGTGCTTCTCACAGGAACCACTAAATTCTTCAGCCAAAGGCAACATCTGAGCTTGAACGTCCATCAAAATCTAAGATAAATGTTATTATACCCGAATTTTACTCCGAGAAAGCTGGGAGTAAGTGTGTATCTATATATATATATATGCCCAGGCCAGCCTGAAATCAATGTGCTCATCACAGCGTGCAACCACTGCTAAATATTTGATGTCTGGAGAGTTTCGGGGAGGATTTTGGCTTGCTACAGAAAAGGGGCCAGGGAAAGTAGGTCAGCAGCCTCTGCTGGCTTTCGGGCACGCTCTGGAGCTGACAGCTTTCCCAAAGGCAACCTGGAATCCTCGGCTCCGGGACCGCAGGAAACTTTGCAAAGTGTCTTTTCAGAGCCCATGTTTCGTACGTGCACGCATGATTTTGTTTACCTCATTTATTTAATGCCATGTAATCAAGAACAGCAAATTATATTAAGATGTTTCTTCTCGTGAAAGCAAATAAATTACCTGAAGTTACTCATTTAACTTATTAAAAGTAATTTGCCTACCCAGTAGGTAGCTCGTTCCAAATCCTAATGACTTGTTAAATATTAAGTAGCTGAGGCAAAAGCCATAAAGAGACTTGGACATCCTCAGCCTCTGTGCCACAATAGTGAACTGGACAGTGGACTATTTCTCTGAGAGTTTTGGCCAGAAAAACTCCTTTTCCCATCTTCCCTTCTTTACCTCCTCCGTAGGGTCTGCAGGAGACCCAGACCCAGCCTCCTGAGTGGGCTCAGGTAGGATAAAATAAGTTTGTGATTTTTTGATAGGATTTGGCTGCAAAATGAGATTTTTAAATTATTTTTTTTTTTGCAATAATCTTAGGTGCCTCGGCAGCTTCGTGCTTCCAAGGAGAGCCAGGCCCTGATGGGGAGAGGTGTTAGAGATGTACACTTGGAAGTGTTGCCAGGGTGCTTCTGTCCCTTCATGCTTCTGGTTTGAGCTGTCTGCATGCTGGGATTTAAAATACAGCCCCCAGACAAAATTATTGAGGAAAGACCAACATGGAACTACCTCTCTATGCACAGAAATGCAGATCAGTGGGGTTTTTTCCAATTATTACATACTGCTTTTGGAATATAAAAATTCATCCTACTGGGGAGGGTCCCCAGGTTGCCAGGGCTGGAGCTCCTGCCCCAAGAATGGAGGCTGAGGGACAGGAATGGTCCACCCTGGGGAATAGCCTATGGGAAGAGGATGAGGAGGGGGCCAGTCTCTTCACAGCAGTGCATAGTGGGAGGGGGAGAGACAAGGGCATAAGTCAAAACATGGGAGGTTCAGGCTGGATACAGTGAAAAAGCTGCATTCCCATGGCAATCTAACTACTTGAATACATTGCCCACAATCCCTCACCTCATGCTGATCCTTTTTTTTTAAAAAGAAAGAGTTGAGCATGTTTCTCTTTGCGATGGAGCTAGGCTTTACCTAATGTCACTTAAGGTCACAGAAGGATGAGTTCTGTAAGCTTTTCAAGTTGAAAGTTAGTATGTAGGGGCTTAAGGAAGCACAGGAAAGAAGCCAGTTCTTCCTGGGAGAGGTGCTTCTGCTTTTGAAAACTGTGAGTTAGGAGAGGGTGGCTGTGTTATTCAGGAAGGAAAGCTAGCTGAGAAAAGTTCTCCTTCCTAAGGCACGGCTCATCCCGGAGGAGGCAGCAGGAAGGCCAGTCAGTGATGTCATGAAGCTCATGAAGACCACCTTCACCATTGCAGACAGGCCATCTCCAGCTTAGACGACCAGCAATAGAAGCAGTGATCAAAAATAAACCCGAATCTTATGGACCAAGGTAGGTTTGAGATTTCTTTTTTTCCTTCATCAGCCCAAGAAGTTGCAGTGCACAAGCAGGAGGCATTTTTAGCAGATGCTCATCTGCTGTCCCTCTTGCCTTGCCACCAACACCCCCTGCCATTTAAACACAAACGGCCAGTGTGGTGCACACAGGGGGTGTGGGTGTGGGAAGCCAGGAACAGCAAGGGGGTTTCGGTCCCCAGGCTGGTGGTGGGTCTTGTCTCATCAGAAGTTCATGGTTACCCCAACCAGGGAAGTTGGGAGATGGCATTAAGGATCCCCTCCTCGGCCCCAGCCCTGCCAGCAGCATCAACTGGGCTGGCTGCCCGTGCTGCCCTTCTCCCAGTACAGAGCTAAAATAGGATGAGCATATTATCAGCCCAGCACCTGACTTAAATGCTTTGTGAGAAAGACAGGAAAAAAGCAACTTACTTTGTCTCAGTGGGAAATCCATGTAGAAAACATCAAAGTTGGCAAATTTCTCAGACGAGGCTATTTCTTTCAGCACATTGGAAAGTTGCAAAGCTCTCTGCAAAAATGAAGTGATTTAACGACGCTTTGCGTGGATTCAGCTTCTGTCCCTGCTGTGGGGTCAGGAATCTGAGAGCTAATGCTGCCCTTCTCACTGGGGGAAAGGGGAGATGGGATTCTTCATCACACATCCACTTGCACCACCAGCCCTTGGGCTCCCCAGCTCCCCATGGGATGCACTACACTGTTCTACTGAGGCTTCAAATGATGTACTAACTTTAATACAGCTTGTAGTTGTTTTATTGGAGACCTCTTTTAGCAGTGTCTCTATGCCTATGCAAATATTCTGAATTTCTCCATTTCGGAGGCCTCTTGATGAGCGAGAGCCTGCTCCTTTCCATTCCTCTTAAAGAAAACTCGAACTTTTAGTACAGGACAAATGTTCTCCTTTCCCATCAGCCTTGTTGTGAGTGCTAATGCCTATCCAGGCAGACCAAATTCTGCTCTTACTTTCAGCAGAGTAAATTACCTCCATTGAGCATCTACGTAACCAATACACCCAGTGTGATTTCTACAGCCGGGACAGAGATCAGGAGCTCCTAAATATTTAAATCGTGAGGTTTGGATAATAACATAGACAATTAGTTTCAGACAGGGGCTCAGAAAAAAGATTAATTCGTGCCCTGCAGATACATGAATTGTTCATGGACGGAAGTTACACGTACTGTATGCTCTGTGTTGTTGGTACAAATACATAAGCCGCGATCCCTCAAAGATTTAAGGATGTGTTTAATTCCCTTTTCTGAAGTCGCAAGGGACAGGGCATAAAATGAAACACATATGTAAGCCTTGGTGAAATTAAGGCCATATTTGGGGTTTAGTGAATGCAAACATTAATTCAACTACACACAGAGATGACACTTTTGATGATATTTGGCTACTGGCTCTATTGCATGGCTGCAGGGGGGGTGCTGGGATTAAAAATCAGCTTGTTCTGGAAGGGAATAAGTGGCTGATATTACGTGGTATTTACTTCTGCAGCCAGATTTTTAGGGTGAGTTTTAAGACATCTCTGTCCTGTCTGTTCCAATTCCTGCGCCGAGCCTGGATGCTCCTCGGTCACACCAGCTGGTGATTAAGTCCACGGAAATGTGTCTGAGGAAGATTAGCACAAATCCCAAATGAAGACAGGGTAAGGCTCTTGCTCTTGGGGCCCTGCTCCTGCTGCCAGAGCAATCCATGCAGTTGGCTTTTCACGCCCACAGCTATTTGATTCACAAGCCATTTCTTTCTTCATCAGGGATGTTTTCCCCTTAAAGAAGAGGAACCTGGACAGTTTTGTCTCAGGGAGATCGCGCCCCTTGAAAATAAGTTTGGGCAGCTGAGAGGTTGGAAAGGGAATACATTAACAAATCCCTTAACCATGCTGCCTCCTGGAGCCTGAGAGACATTTAGAAGGATGGATACACATCTTTCCACATCTTTTTCCCTGTCTTTGGGAGAAAAAAAAGTGTGTTGACAAGCCTTTGAGGTATTAGGCTTATATCCTCAGGGACAGGGTGAACTGGGAGAGGGTCTGTGCAAGAGGAGGGTCTCGTGCAGCCTCGTGGAGACTTACCTCCGAGGTCAAATTCCTGAGGGTCTCGTTGGAAGTCAGCCAGCCGCTGCAAGGGCTCACCTGGGCAGGACCAAGGGAGCAGAGCATCAACAGGGGGCCGAGAAGAAAGGGGGGGCTCCTAAGCTACAGCCAGAGACCTTACCTGGAGGCAGTCGAGGAAAGAATAAAGTTGACTGTAGGTGACGTCCCTGTTCAGCTGCCCTGAAACACACAGAGAGGGAACCTTCATGTGCCTGGTGGCCAAAAATGTACCGACTCAAAGGGTAGTGATTAATGGAGCAGGTTCAAGTTGGAAGCCTGTAACCAGTGGTGTCCCCCAGGGGTCAATACTTGGTCCAGTGCTGTTTAACATATTCATCAGTGACCTGGACGAGGGGACAGAGTGTATCCTCAGCAAGTTTGCTGATGATACTGAACTGGGAGGGGTGGCTGACACCCCGGAGGGCTGTGCTGCCATCCAGCGAGATCTGGACAGGCTGGAGGGCTGGGCAAGGAAGAACCTCATGAGGTTCAACAGGGAAAAGTGTAGGGTCCTGCACCTGGGGAAGAAGAATGTCAGGTACCAATACAGGTTAGGGGTGGACCTGCTGGAGACAACTTCTAAAGAGAAAGATCTAGGGGTCCTGGTGGACAGCAAAATGACAATGAGTAAACAGTGTGCTCTTGTGGCCAGGAAGGCCAA